GCATCGCTGCTTCCATAAATATGGACATGCTGGTCGCCTGGGGGAAACACCTTACTGCCTTCACACTCCTGTCGCAGAGGACAGTACGGCTTTACCCCCAAACCGCCTCGTAGCACGATTACTCGTAGTACGGGGTCTGGCTGCTCCCCTTTGGCCTTCCTGGCATGGTTGTACCTTGTGGAACGAAGCTCCAGCCAGTGTAGCCCGGAGGATCATTGCGGCACTGAAGCCCGACCACCACGTCAAGGTGGCAGCTTTAGGTCGGGTTTGGAAGAGACTCCAGAAGACGATCCTGGTAAGTTCGTCTACCATCTGGATCTGCCAGTTTTCCAGTTGCCAAGCGATTTATCCGCACCTTACGCAGCCCAGGGAGAAGCGACTTTGGACGAGTGCGTGGTCGGAATTTACAAATGTGTTCCAAAACGAGCGGCAGTCAGTTATTGATCCATGCCGTCGGTAACTGATGACAATGTGGTCTATTTGAGTTTGTGGCCGGCACGTCGTTGAAGGACATTATGTGGCTAGAAGACTTCCGCTCTTTGGGAAGTTAGTACTGCACGAAAACAGTCTGCGATCAGCATACGGCTGAAGTAATCGTTCGCCATTGTCCATTGATCATACCAACGACTAAATCGAAGAGGAAGTATGAAAGAGGACAGCCCTGTCTAACACCGCCTGATGGGATGGACTCAGAAGAGAGCTTCTTGTAGACCTTCACACGACCGCGGGAGTTGGAGTACAGCGCCTTAAGGAGGGTCAAGAATTTATAGGGAGCGCCTTTGCTCCACAGACACTGCTATAGGGCCTGACGGTCCACAGAGTCAAAAGCAGCTTTCAGATCAAGAAACACAACCACTGTTGGCGGCTGGAAGCAGTGAAGGTGAAGATATGATCAATGCATTCTCTTGCAGGACGGAACCCAAATTGTTTTTCACGGATCTGTCTCTCCCTTTGTTCAGTCAACCTTAGAAGGTTAAGACCCGAGAGCACCTTCGATGCCACAGCCAACAGGCCGATGCCACGTTGGTTTTGGCACAACGTCCGCGTACCCTTTTCGAAGACAAGAATAACTCTCGACATGCCCCATTCTGCAGGCACCTACTCGTACCATACAGCACCAATAGGCTTTATCAGATGGGTCAACAGGGATTCTCCGCCTTCATTGAAGAGGGCTGGATACAAACCGTCCGGTCCTGGTGCCTTCTCACGTTTCAGTACGGATATTTCATACTTTATTTCTTCTTCCGACGGGAGATCAGTGTTTACATTCCATTCGCCCGTATTCACTGTCTCCACAGGCTGTTTCAGTAGGCCAGCTGAACTTTTATTCGAAGCCTTCGGCCCATCTTTCCAGTCAAAGTTTTTGCGAGTAAATTAGTGAGTCACCTTTTTCACTTATCGTTTCGCTGACCGTTGCTTTCCTAGAGCCAGTCGGTCGTATTAGTTGATATCGGGCACGGCTGTTTCCCTTAGCAAAAGCCTTCTCCATCTCCCGAGTTTTCGATGTCCACCAGAGCTCTCGGTCTTTCCTTAGACCCATCACTATTTGGCGTTTGAGGGATTTGCGTGCACCGTCGTACTCGTTGCCTGCTGGTATGGCTTTCCTGGCGTCAGTCATGGATAACGATCTCGGCGGCATCCCGTGGTCTTGTAGCTGAATCGGAGAAGTTGGACAGACAGCGGTGAACGCCGCTAACGTAGCTCCTTTCACATTTCGCCACTCTTCATCCACTCCGAGACGGGGCACATCAATGGTTAGAGACATTGTCAGACATGTCCCAGTCGCGCCCTCAATCGCACTGGTGCATCAAAACTAGTGCCTTCATAACATAGCTCCCTGCCTAATCTCCCCACTCAAAAGTCCACTAACCGACCTGAGGTTACGCACCAATTTTTCGCCTTCCGCTTTGTATTGTGCGGTGGCCGAGCTATTGGTTACGCCTGCACTGAGCCTGCCAGACTACGCGATAGGGAGAAGACAGATAACTGGGGACACGGCTGTATTGCCAGGACAAAATATACAGAGCGTCTGCGTAAATATATAGGATGACTAATTGGCCAAATATGGTCGTTCACTTGTCCGTTCCGTACAGCCAATGGTGGTGTTCCGGTTGTGAACAGTCTCAGACCCTCTACGCTGGTCTTGTGTTGCTAAGCCGTGTTTGGTGAGAGACGCCAACTCACCTACTTTCCGGACGCGTCATACCGATGATGACCTTGGGGATGCGTCACTCTCTGTACATGTACTTTTTCTTCTGTCTGGGTGCGCCCTGACACTCCTTGAACGCGCATTTACCTACCCCATCTCCCCAAATCGTTGATGGACGAAATTTTGGCACTTACAACCACTGTATGACAAGCACGCGGTTCTTACGGCTGTTATTGATGATGATGCTCAAAGTGCACACATCTTTAAGAGGGTCTTCTTATAAACACGGGCACTAGGGAAGAAGAAACGTCACCATGTATCCCATACATATCCCATTTACCAATGCACAGTACGGGGCAGGCGTGTTTGTGTGATTAAGTTTTTTGCGCAGTGGATGGAGAAAGCATTAATTTCGGTCAGAATGTCACCTCGCAGCTAGTGTCCAAGGAACGCAATCGATAGTTTACTGTGAACGTCCCTTGTAAGAATAACATTGTCCACTTTCTCTCACCCACTGAGACGAAAACGACGGGGCGCGCAACACCCTCACTGCCATGCCATGGACTTACCTCTCGAGTGGATAGGATGGCTCAGGCATCAATATGGTGTTTAAATTTTCATGGTCCGATTCGTAACTTTACTTTTTGTTGCCGTTGTTTACGTTTTGTTAACCTGGTTCAATCTACCTTGTTAATCTGATTTACATGTGGTGCCATCTTTGACATTTGCTTTGAGGGGCGCCGCTAGGGTACTTAATTGGTGCCGATTTGACTGCGTTGTCAACATTTGTAATCTCGCAGTGTCGTACCGATTCGCTTCTATTCATTCGTTGATATATATTACACTGCCACTGGATCAATTTTACGGAATCAGCTGTTTCGTCGCGTGGCTGTGAGACTTGACCTGTTCATGCAGCGGAACTGAGACGTCTTCATGTGTTTGACAATCATCGTTTCAGAACCATACCTCGTGTGGACTGATGTTGGCGAATCCGTAACGAAGCAGTTAGAAAGCCAGTTTTCGGTTGTGTCCAGCATCAGAAGCTGTGTTGTCTGGGACGTGTTGCATATGCCGAACCGTCACTTGCCAATGGGAGTGCTGTTTTCATGCCCAACTCAGAGTGGCGGAAGCAGAGAGGTGGCTAACCCGTGATTTGCAAGAGGAGTGTGAAGGAGATTACGGAACGTTTGGGTGCTGTCGGTGCTACTCGCCTTCCAGGATGGGGACCGCGTGATTCCCACTGCACCTGGTTGGAGACACCACAAGATATGTCTGCCAACCGATGTCAGTAGCGTTGTTGTTGTCAGTTTCTATCCTCGTTGCCTGAATGAATGTCTGGAGGTATAGGCGCCTCGGAATGATTGTATTAAGCCAGCGCTAACTCCCTTTCCCGTCCACCTTTACAATAAGGCCTTCAAATAAATCATGATTGTATGGCAACGAACCATCGGTGTTGAACACTGATGTCATGCTGTCGATGATGATGATTATGATGAATAAACTGCTGGGTGTCACTTGTGGGCATGGCTCATATTCGCCAAATTGTTCATTTCCTCTCTGTTAGTTATTGTGTATTTTTGTTTATTTTTTCAAATTATTTTCTTTAACAGGCCTTTCGATATTTCCGATCCCGCTGAATAGTATTTGTTTACTGATGCCTTCAACTGATACCGAGACTATTCTGGAACCCTCGGCCCTTGACTTAAGCGGAGATGGAATGCATAATGATGGATTCAGCGAACAAGATCACATTTCCAAAACAATGCCTGTCCATAAAACGGACCGGGGTCCCCGAAAGATCTGGAGGTGGAAGTTGGAGGGGATGACTTTAGTTGTACTTAGTGTGATAGTAGCATCCGTCGCGCTCACGTTGGCTCTTATTATCAGCATTCTTGTTGGTGAACCTCAGGTATTTTTCATCGATCTGTTACATGCAAACCTCCTAGGTGATGCCCCATGGTGCAGTCGTTTCTGAAAGCTCTCAGTGTAATTCAATCGGCTTAGAAATGATGAGCCAAGGTCAAGGTAACGCCGTTGATGCAGCAGTTGCAATGGCTCTCTGTATGGCTGTCGTTCGTCCGGACGTGGCAAGTGAGTTGTTTTTCTGTTTAATGTGAATAGCCTGCATTATAATCCCTTGACTTCGGATGTTTCCTCCCATCCTTACCAATAAGACTACTAGACGACCACTTTGTACCGATATCTTCTTAATCATAACTGAAGCCTGAAACGCCTCACGTCTCCTTACACTGTGGTGACGCGTGTTCCGACTTTCATGAGAATGCGTCATTTGCTTCGGACTGTAGGGTTTGTCAAAGTTATGGAACGTTACAATCTGTTGTAGCAATGGACTCAGATTTCGTTAATAAAGTACGAACCATACACCACCCGGAGGAACGTTTCAAACTTTTTCCAAATCCTGAGACAAAGGTTAGACGGCTTCGAAGATCTCTTGGCATTCTCAGTTGCAAGTACCTAAGAGTCGTATTTTGGGGCAGAAATTTGAAACACTAAGTTGTTCCATTTCCAACTAATTATTGTATGGCTAAAGTAATATTTACTGAAAAGTCGCCCAACCGCAGCACTCTAGGTGTCTAGATGTCACGTATTAATCACGAGGAATTAGATACTACTAGGTTTCCCAAGCCTAGGCAGGAGCAGTCGTGATGTTGAGGTCGAGTTCGAACCACCGACCTTCCGATCAGTAAGTTCGCGCCTTAATCACTGAGTCGTCCCGAACTCAATACCGTGTACAGAACAGAAGAGAATGTACCAATCTCAGATCTTCGTTTTGGACTATGCAGCTGTATCTTGGGCTTGTGTGTGGATTTTGTGGCCGGTGGATGCCAAGAACAGCAGCTGAAATTCGGATCGATTGGCTGTATTTTTTTGACCGAGCGAAGTTCGTGTTCACGCTGAATGGAGCTGATGACGTGGCATGTATAGGCGTTTTGTTTTCATTTTCAGGCCATGCAAAATGTCGATGCCCTAGAGACCCAGCTGGGAGTTACTTGCGAAGACATTTAGCTGAATACTCAGGATCGCAGGTTCCGCCCATTTTGTACAGTTGGTTACTATGTTTTTTTGGAAACTAGATCAATAACCCGTCAACTTTTGTTTTACGGTCTCGGATGTGACCTACCTTCAAACTGCCCAAGTTCTCGTCATAATTTGAAATGACAGCGTCTCATTTACCGTATATTGTGTATTGCCTGACGTTGCCTCACGATACCATTATTTATATAGTACTTCCAACTCAATTGCCATTTAACCTTACTTTGATGTTAACTTTAGTTGCTGGGTTAAACCGTTTGGATAAAGGTTAAAGACGATGCCTCCTAAACTGAACTCACTTCATTTCAGAAGAGCTTGGTAAACAATCTGTAGTTTTTATTTGGGTAACGTTTCGCTTTTGACACAAAAGCTTCATCAGAGGGATTATAAGACGAAAGGGTAGTCATCATCTGGATTCCACTTAATCTTACCCACCTCCCCTCCCACCCTCAACTAAATTGTCGCAACATTCACATGGCCATGAAGACCAAGGAAAATCTACCAGTGTCACCGAAGTTGAATCATCAGTTGGAGCACTCTGAACTGGAAGATTAAGGAAAAAAAAGCTATCGGAACTAATTTGAAAGTCCTCCAACCCATCGATTCAATATTTTTATCAACCAGGAGCCGTTAATTGTCACTCAGCACTGATCCAGTGTGATAATCTGGTCCCCCGTCTGTCTTACAACCTGACCAATCTGTTGACTTGTTCACTTGGCCTGATGAAGCTTTT